CAAAACTTTAAATTCATGATTCATCTTTGTTGTTCTAGATTTTCTCAGCCATAACAATCATATGAATAAATCGGTAAAATTTGTGTCTGCACAACAATCCCATTAGCTGATTAAAGCGCTGTGTAGCGATAAAAATTCCAATTTAAGGCCGGGCAGAGTCAGGCAGTCTATCTTCGCTTCAAAGCCTAGGACACGATGATGTGCAATCTTTCAGATCGAGTAGAGGTTTTTCGCAGCAACTGAGGTTCTCCTTCCTCTTCCTCAACTATCGCCTGTAAAAAAACTATTATGTCTTTTGAAAACAATTCTCAAACTTTTTGGAAAGTTGTAAAACTCACGTCATCATTTCTGGTAGGGCTAATTCTCTGCCTGACCCTCTCAATAAGACTTGTAGGACGTTCCCTCCTCGCGCTCGTGTTGGAGCGCATTTTCACTTCACCAGAGGGGTTTGGGCTAACCTCTTGATAGATGTTGCCAAGTGACATGAAACGAGGCCTTGGCCTATCTGGACAGTGCTAAAAAAGAAGAATTTACTCTAGAATTTCAAACATAGAAGAATTTGAACTTTTCAGAGCGCAAATTACTTTACACCAAGAACAAATGACCTTCTCAACTTAGTTCCTGCTGAATATGTCCATCAATCATTTTTGTGATAATCACTCTTATTCCAAAACAGCAAAACAAATTTTGCACTTTTTCTCAGACATAATTTATCAAATCATGTCAAATCCATCACGTTATGATAAAGTTGTGATATAATGAACACAGAGATCTTTACAATCACATGAAATTTCTATTTCTGTAAGGATTCGTCATATCTTACACAAAATCTTAAAATAGCAAAACGTGCAGAGTTTTGAATTACGGTTTTATTAATAATAGGATGTTCACTCTACTTTCAGATCATGGAAGATCGTACAAATTGTAGAAAGCAAGGTTTACCTGGCTATGCAAATTCCTCGCCCATTCAGCTCTATTCTAGTCAAAGTAGTGAGAGAAAATTTGAAATTTTCATATGAAACGACAGCAGCTAATAAGTCCCTCGAAATTACCAATTTCGGTATCATCTCAACTTAACTCTAATTTTGCAAGAAGGAGTTTCTAGCATGACCGTTCTCCAAGACTTCTTACAGGCAAGCGTTTTCTTAGAAATGGAGCAGTTGATTGATATTGCTGATAATGTTGCTCTGAAAGCGCGCTCTGCTGCTAAAAAATTCTCGCGTGTGGAGAGGGTCCAGAAAATGATCCAGTAATGGACAGATAAGTTTGGATGTAGCCTGAACTCAAAAACAGAGGATTTCTTTGGTGGCAAAGTACAGTAAACCCACTCAAGTTTCAGTTGTGGTTTTTCAGAATCTCATAGTTAATAGATCGAATTAGAATCAGAGTCAAATTCCAGACATTTTCTAGGTGTCTGATGTTAGCAAATTTCAAAATAACTTCCAATACAGATGCATAATCCCTACCTTTAACGTATAACTTCTCTTTTCCTCTTTCACAGCTCTGTTCAACTCTTGTGTAGAGGCAGAGCATGGCTTAAAATCGGGTGACTTCTGCATAGCGACAAATTCGCCAAGCATATTTGTTAATGAGTTTGCGAGCTTCATACCTGGAAGATGAAAAAGTATCACGTGGAATTTCTGCATATATAGATAGAGCTATAGAAAGTACGAAAAAATAGGATAAAAGAGAATAAATGCTTCAAAAAAATGTCCTTTTCAGAAGAGTTCGGGTTCAATAAAAATCGAATAAAAGTTTTTGTAGGGAAAAAACTTGCTGCTTCAGTAAAGACATCGGAGGGCTTTTATGTAGACAAAAGAGGGCGGAGAGAAAGGTTCGGATGAGTCAGGGTCAATAAATCAAAAATTTTCGAGCTAATGATGATGATGTGAGAAAGCGCAACTTTCCTCTGATCATATGGCTACTACTCATCGGAATCTTAAGATAACATCAGAGGGTATAACGATGATGACGTCATTTCTGTTATCCAAAAATAACTGTATGAGGAAACAAACAAGTTCAAAAATAAAATAAAAAACAAGGAAAACTGCTAGAAACACAGAGAACTCTATTAATCTCAGTTGAACTTTCCTTATTAAACTATTTGGAATACGTTGAACATTAGGAAAACTCGTCCACGACGACTGATGTTGTATCAACAGCAGCTGGTACGAGAGAAGCAAACAGGTTTTTCAAGCAATCGTATACGATATGGTTGCTACTTGCGATTGTGTGACTTTATACTC